ACAATGGCCAACAAGAAGGGAGACAAGAAGGGAGACAAAAGGAAACAGAAGGGAGACAAGACAGACACCGTGCCCAACAAGAAGGGAGACAAGAAGGGAGACAAAAGGAAAAAGAAGGGAGACAAGACGGACACAATGACCACCAAGAAGGGAAACAAGACCGGAGACCAAGGGAGACAAGAAGGGAGATAGGACGGGCACAATGACCAACAAGAAGGGAGACAAGAAGGGAAACAAAAGGAAACGGAAGAGAGACAAGACGGACACTATGACTGACAAGGGGGACAGCAAGGGAGACAAGAAGGGAGACAAAAGGAAACAGGAGGGAGACAAGACGGACACAGTTTGACAAGAAGGAAGACAAGGCGCACACTGTGACCAACAAGAAGGGAGACAAAAGGAAACAGATGGCAGACAAGACGGACACAGTGACCAACAAGAAGGGAGACAAGACCGGAGACAAAGGCAGACAGAAGGGACAAGGCGGACACAATGACCAACAAGAAGGGAGACAAGAAGGGAGACAAAAGATAACAGAAGGGAGACAAGACGGACACAATGATCAACAAGAAGGGTGACAAAAAGGAAGACGAAAGAAACAGAAGGGAGAAAGAAACGAAAGTACAGAAATCACCTGGGAGGGATACGAATAGAAATGCTGGAAAGGGGAAAAGGGCGGATGCCAGCAGTGCGGGCACCGAACCTGGTAAACAAAAGTAAGAAAATCACATGCACAAATTATAAGAATGCTGCATGGCCAGCGGAAAGGGCGGACACCAGCAGCGCAGGCACCGAACCTGGGAGACAAAAGTCAAGAAATCACTGTTTTTCAAAACAAATGAGTTGAAATGCTACATGGCCAACGGAAAAGGGCGGACACCAGCAGCGACAGACCTGGGAGCCAAGTGAATTGAATAGAAATGCTACATGGCCAGCGGAAAAGGACGGACACCAGCAGTGACAGACCTGGGAGACAAGTGAATAGAAATGCTACATGGCCAACGGAAAGGGCGGACACCAGCAGCAACAGACCTGGGAGACATACGCATAGAAATGCTACATGGCCAGCGGAAAGGGGCGGACACCAGCAGCGACAGACCTGGGAGACAAATGAATAGAAATGCCACATGGCCAGCGGAAAAGGGCGGACACCAGCAGTGACAGACCTGGGAGACATATGCATAGAAATGCTTCATGGCTAACGGAAAAGGGCGGACACCAGCATCGACAGACCTGGGAAACAAACGCATAGAAATGCTACATGGCCAGCAGAAAAGGGCGGACACCAGCAGCGACAGACCTGGGAGACAAATGAATAGAAATGCCACATGGCCAGCGGAAAAGGGCGGACACCAGCAGTGACAGACCTGGGAGCCTGGGAGACATATGCATAGAAATGCTACATGGCTAACGGAAAAGGGCGGACACCAGCATCGACAGACCTGGGAAACAAATGCATCGAAATGCTACATGGCCAGCAGAAAAGGGCGGACACCAGCAGTGACACAAAGGGCGGACGCATCTTAAGAAAGAATTGAGAACCTCTAACAGTTTACTGTTTGGAGAATTTAGGGTCCCCCCAAATTTAGCACTATTCAGGACCCATTTTTCAATCATGGGGGCTGGAATAATTTTGGAAAACTTTAGCATTGTTGAGGACCCACTTACTAATCAGCATCCAACATTACTGTAATTAATTATGCGTTGAAGTGAAGAAACTGCTTCGTTTGAGAGAGGGGAATCCCCTGTATTGTTTTTGCATAAAACCATCCCAGGCGGTGAGTTAATTTTTTGTTAGATACTTGTTTTTGATGCCTTTTGAGCACATTAGCATTCGGATGTATTCGGATAGTAAACTACGCGCAAGTGTCCCAACCCGTATCTTCCGTGGTGCCACTACTTAAACTATATGCTCCCTGTGATAGTTGCATTCATTGCGCCTGTCGTGTATAAGTACTGCCTCCGTCCTTGAATATGCACTGTCTTCTCTTTTGGTAGTGATCTACTAGTATTTTGTAGTCTACTATTTTTTCATCCCCTGTGATACCCTGTGAAGCGTCTCATTAATTGTTTGTGTGGAAATTGCGCCCACCCATGCCCGAACACTCATGGCCCTTGGCGCGACAGTTTTTTGGTGTATATATATTTTTTTTTTGGTGTGTGTCTCTCCGGTGCAAAAATGGCGAGCGGGTGCTTGAACATAGATTTCGACCACCGACAAGCATTCCTTCAGTTTTTTGTGGTCTATGAAAATTACTCGTTGATTGGATAGTGACCTCGTTTCTTTCCAATATATTCTGGTGTTGGTGGAAAGACTTGTGTTCGACGTGTACAAAACTGTTTGCTCGACACTGCGTTTCTTGTATCGCGCCTGTTTATATCAGTCATGCGTTGGCACATGTGCAAGCATTTATTGGTTCCAGGCATGTTTCCTGCTTACTGCTGTAAAACATGTTTTTTGTTGTATTTTTCTGGCACCAATAATATATAAAGATATGTAAAATATGTCCTCTTTGACAGCTGCGTTCATTGCACCTTTCGTGTGCCAACTATGTGTTCGCCCTTCATTACATTTCCCTTCTCCTTTGGTGGTCCTACTTTCCTTTCATTTGTATGAACTTATAGCTTGTTCATTCTCTGTCCAAGTAGAATTTGTGAGCCTAGACAATTAGCGCCCCTGTTCTTGGAACGAATCTTTTGTTGCGCTGTATTGAGTTGGTTCTGCATACTTGAACATACAATTCGGCCGTCGGCGAACATTTCTTAAGCGTTTCGTGGTCAATGGAACATACATTCTGCTTGGATATCGAACTTGTTTGTGCATTTCAAAGTTTATGTGTTGCTGGATTTACCTTCTTTTTTTTTCGACATGTAAGAACTGGTTGCTTGGCTCTGTGTTTCTGGCATCGTTCGTGCATAGGCCATGCGGGCTCATGTACATACATCCGCTGCTTAGATCAGATGATATTGCATTGCAGCCGCTGTGGGGGTCCCACTTTTCCACGAAGACACATTACGAAGACACATTCAAGCACAGCCACCTCTCCTC